TAGTCGGAGTAGTAGATGCGCTTCTGCTCACTGGATATATTGATATCTTAGATCCGACTTCAGTGGCATAACATGCAAAGTTTCTATACCGATTGTATACGAATACTCTTCTAAAACTTCTTCTTTTTTTAAGTATAGCTATCGGATTCTTTCATTGCCTTTGTTGTCAATGTCCGGCTCATAAAAACCTTCAATTATTAATAAAAATAGATCGCAATGAGATAAAGTTGATTTATCTGTAATCGCAATCGATTGGGATGAAATTAAATGAGACGGAATTAAGCCAGCTGAGACGAGATGAAATAAAAATATGGCGCGGTAAAATATTGAAAATTTTTTTAGACCTCAATGGACTTTTCAGAAGAACCCGAGAAGCCGCGTCCAGTGAATTTGTTTTTATTTTCCCACAACTATGCACTTTTACTATTACCGTACACTTAATAAACCACCATTATTGTAGGTTTGAACCTGGAAAAAATAACAAAATAAAACAATTCATATAAATTCGCTCACCGCACTTCCTCCAAAAAGTCCCGTGCGATTATTTCTTCTATCCGGGGATGTAATGATTAAGTAAGAGACGTTTATAGCCTGCGTTATTAAAAACCATTAAGTAAGCGGTCCAGCATTTAAAGATTACCTACACCAGAAAACATGGAGCCAGTGTTACTTTAAAATGAAAAAGTAATAAATTTTCACCACCATCATAAGCTGTCGGACTATAGTCTTAGCAAGCCCATGAGTGATAAAAATCTGGATGTGCTAAAAGTAAAAAACCTCTGAATTTATAATGGAGTATTTAATTAAAATTGAAGCGCTAAAGTACTTTATTTATAGATATGTTGATTTATAGATAAATTTATCAACAGATGTATTATATTGAAAATAACCAATCGATAAATTGTGGTCATGTCCATGTTATCTGGAGTGTTATTAAATCGATTTTCACGGTTTCGTGGTCACGAACGACTAATGTGTAAAAAACAGAGGGGATTTTAGCCACAAATTTGTGTCTAAAATACCAAGTTTGTGAAAGATGCCATATTCATGTTCACTTCATTCGTCACGGATCTCTCATTACGGTATCCCAGTTTACTCAACGAATACCCCAAAGCCTAGGTATTCTGCATAAAGAGAAGCTAATTTACTGCGTTCGTCAGTCGGTTTTCTCGTCTCCACAATTTTTAAACACTTTATAATGAAACTTTTTTCCTGTTTATGACGAAAGCCCGGAACAAAACCGCGAAGATGCTAGGAAGAATCTTTCTTTGGTAAGTTTTCTTAATTATTTTTGAGATAGTAGTTAACTAATCTAAATGTTAAAGTTCGTTTTATTAACATTAAAACTTTTAGGCCGGTGTATTTAAGAGCATTCCGTAGTATTTCAAAGGATTTTTGTTCTTGAGGATCTTCGTGAAAACCCTGATAGGAATTGGTCGTCAAAACAAAAACGCCGATAGGCTTGGAAACTTAGGAGGAGAGAAGCCTATTTTAGAGTTGATCAATTAAGCATTTTTGTTACTAATTATAAATGCATTGCAAGTGCTAAATTATCGCAGGTTAAAAAAGCATATTTAGTTATTTATTGCGTAGATGGGAGTAAACGAGATAAGATATTTTTTTTGTTATTGCTTAGATGGGTGGACGAGCTCACAGCCCACCTGGTGTTAAGTGGTTACTGGAACCCATAGATATCTACGACATAAATGCGCCGCTCACCTTGAGATATAAGTTCTAAGGTCTCAAGTATAGTTACAACGGCTGCCCCACCCTTCAAATCGAAACGCATTACTGCTTCACGGCAGAAATAGGCAGGGTGGTGGTACCTACCCGTGCGGACTCACTAGAGGTCCTACCACCAGAGAACGCTGCTGAACATTCTCCGGTGAACCGTTTGGTCAGTTTTATTAAATTTATTTATTGCTTAGATAGGTGGATGAGCTCACGACCCACCTGGTGTGAATTGGTTTCCAGAGCCCATACACATCTACAACGTAAATGCCGCCACCGATCTTGAGACATGAGTACTAAGATCTCAGTTTTTCCCGTACAACGGCTGTCACGCTATTCAAAGCGAAACGCATTACTGCTTTACGGTAGAAATATGGGTGGTGGTACCTACCCTTGCGGGCTTATGATAAGCCTGTTTTTTTTTTGGTCAGGAAGAAATCGCCGGACTTCCGCCCTCCACTGGGGATGAGGGGCAGGGCATGTCAGAGTCGAACTGACTAAAACCTCCTATCGCTCAACAACCAACGTCCAAACCTCGCATCAGACAGAACTCATGAAGACGCAGAGGGGGAAAGTGAATGATAAGTCCTACCACTAGTGTTTAGTAGTAAGGCGTCCTACTTGGAATAATAAATAAATAAATATTTTTACTAACAATCACGCCACGTTAACTGGTCCCGTGATAAGTTCGTAAAGAACTTGTGTTACAGGTACCAAATAACGGATATAAATGTAAGATTTTTATTATACACATACATATATTTAATATACATCCATAACCCTGGAAAAGACATTTATATTTATCATACAAATATCTTCCCTTGGCAGGATTCGAACCCGCGACCCCCTTGTGTAGTGACCATGTCACTTACCACCACACCAGACGGCCGTAATGATGACGGCGATAATGAGCAGGATCTGTGCTGAAGATCAGAAAACATACAAAGCGAAAACAGCATGGTAAGAATTTCGTCACTTCGACAGACTGCCTTAAAAATATTTCATTAAAACTCTAATATCAGACACGCAGTTGGGAGTTTACGTCGTAAATCTATTATGAGTCATTATTCTCTTTAATTTTATCTTGTGCGGAGCCTTTACAGTTTTACGTTAGCTCGCAGTTTTAATTACTAAAAGCTTAACTGCGCCCGTATAACCGGATATACGGTTAAATGTTTACAGTTTTATAACAGTAATAACCGGGTCACCCGGTTTTAATCAAAAGATCAACGAATGTAGCGCAATATGCTTATTTAGGTATATTTCCTTAGTCCATTAAAGTATCAAGTTTATATTGTTGGTAGGTACTAATATATTATAATACCAGCTTTTGCCCGCGACTCCGTCCGCGCGGAATAATTACTTTGGCATAACGCTAAATTTTACCCCCCCACTTCATTTACGTAGAAAGTGAAAATATTTTTGAATTATAGAATGTTAACGAGCTATTTAAACCCCTATTTTGAAACATTCTTTATTGGTGACCTTACCGTGATGTTAGATAGCCTATATATAGCCTTCCTCAATAAATATATCAATGTCAATGATAATATGTCAATTCCCGTTAGTTAATTAAGATAACAAATTACTTATATAAATTTACTAGGACAAGTGCGTAAATCATATTAATTCAAATAATGTGTTTTTAAAACTACTGATCATTTGTAAGTGAGTAGTAAAGAGTGCTAATGACATGTCAGGCTGTGAATTTTTAAAGATAGGCATATATGACTGACTATATCTTTGACAGGCAGGCAGAAAAAATCGAAAATCGAAGAAAATGCTAATTATTTTTCCAGTTGAATGAAAGTAACTATTGTTATCGTGAAATTTTAAAAAATTACACAAACGTTCTAAATAAAAGCTTAATGTTTCGTAATAAAGTTAGCATGCTGGCTTATTTTAACGAAAGCTCGAGAGAGACATTTTTAATTACATAAAAAAAGCGCCTTAAAAGCCGCCCCGCCTTTGAACCATAAATCTTTTTCAATAGCCGTTTTATTGGCACTGAAAATTATTATTGCTATTTTGAAGTTAGCACTCTAATTATTTTAATGGTTTCGAGTCATTCAAAATTGGATTTTAATTGAATAACTTTTTATCGGAAGTCGAATCTATGCCGATTGAAACAAGTTTGAAAATTGTTTGAAAATCGTTCGTGTAATGCATTTGAATTGATAGTCGTAATTGTATGGAGCGATATGAAATTGTACAGGTTATTACGGAGTTAGGCGTCGAAAGATTAATTACTACGATTGGATAATAACAGCTGTGCTGTCGGTACAGTCGAGAACAAAAAAAAAACTATAATATAAATTTCGTATCGTTTATTTATTTATTGAACACATTAAGAAAAAATAGGATACATAACATAAAAGGGACAATTTGGACGATAAAAAAGGGATGGAAAGGGAAAAAAAGAGATTTCACACCTACACGATTTCTTGAAGAAAAACAAAATTAGAGTGAACTAGCTTAGAGGCGGAAATTTGTGCAATAAGAATACTATATAAGTAATTGATTAAAATTAAAGTATTTCATTTAGTGAAAATAAAATAATAAAACACATTTTTGTCGTCGTGCCCTAAGGGATAAGACGTCCGGTGCATTCGTGTTGAGCGATGTACCGGTGTCCGAATCCCAGACGGGTACCAATTTCTCTAATGAAATACGTACTCAACAAATGTTCACGATTGACTTCCACGGTGAAGGAATAACATCGTGTAATAAAAATCAAACCCGCAAGATTATAATTTACATAATTACTGGTGGTAGGACCTCAAGTGAGTCCGCGCGCGTAGGTACCACCACCCTGCCTATTTCTGCCGTGAAGCAGTAATGCGCTTCGGTTTGAAGGGCGGAGCAATCGCTGTAACTATACTTGAGACCTTAGAACTTATATCTCAAGGTGGATGGCGCATTTACATTGTAGATGTCTATGGGCTCCAGTAACCACTTAACACCCGATGGGCTGTGAGCTCGTCCACACATCTAAGCAATAAAAAATTTTTTTTTTTTACGAAAATCAAGAATTCGCAGTCCAATTGAATAATCCGATAAAATTCACTCCAAGGCAAAGATAGATGGATGGTTAGGGAACGCATCAATTCGTTTCCTTACCTTAACTTAATATTACAATATTTTCATTAAAAAATGTAACAAAATTAAACTAGATTTTTTTTTTAATTAAGTAATCCTCCAAACCACAATTCGTAACGATGGTACATTACGAATTAGAATAATCAGAAAACTTTACCTATTGACAGAGACGCTACGCTTGCAATGGCAATATTAACAGATAAAGTCTTGAAAAAATATATACGGACCCCTGGGCAATGGAATGAGATCGACGAAATAATGGCACCTGCTCTTCTCGTCCAAAGATTATTTGGCCAACAAATATTGGACCCAGATTGGAGTTTGAAGAAGCACGCAAGTCATCAGCTATTCACAATTTTCCTAGTAATCTACGTGATCTGTGGCACTTTGGATTTCCTTAACACCACGACCGACCAGGGTCAAATTGTGGAAGGATATTACACGTTAATCATAATTTCATCATTCATAGTCAAGTACCCCCTTTTCTTTGTGAACAGAAAACCGATACAGAAGTCGTATCTCATAGCCAAAACCACACTATTTGATTTGATCAGGGAAAATGGAGAAAAAGCCCAAACTTTATTGAAATACTGCAGAAATCTCATCTTACTGCTGTTCATAATGATCTTGCTTCCATTTATGTCTTATATATTGACGGCCATGTACTACTACGCGATTCGTTCAAGGGTGACATTATCCAAAACGACTTCAATACTGGTTCCTATGACGTCACCGTTTTACGAAATCGGATTCTTGCTTCACGCAATATTCATGTTCGAAATATCGTTTTTGCTGCTGGTGGTTGATATGTGGTTCGTTTTCTTTATGTTCTTTTACTGCATAGCTTGCGATAGGCTCGCGGAAATCTTGGAGGTCAAGAGAGATGGAGGAGTTTATGAGATTGAACTGAATAGAGCATTGAAAAAGTTTTACATTGCTCATGATAATCAGATGAAGTAAGTGTTTTATTTTTTCAACACAAAATCTTTAGAAATGCATGTCTCTTAAACAAATAATGTCAGAAGCTCATACATTTATGATCACCAGAAGCCTCTTGTGCACTCGATTGAATATTTTTTAATTCTTTTCCTGCACGGAACATCCTTATTGTTTTGACAGCTTACTGCGATAGTAGAGTCTGTATCAGCAGCTCATAGAATACGCTTTCTTGCCGTTTCATAGTTATTTGCATTTCTTGTCACAGCTTACCTAGCTAATTTATTTGTGGGTAAATTTAATTATTTTATTCCAATAATGAATGGATAAAATAATTTTGAAACACGGAACGACGAACCTTCGGGAACTGAAAATCAGTTATCCGGTTTTTGATCTACTGGTCAGGATTGGAATGGTGGAACAACAGTGTGGAGGATTCAGTAATTATTTTGACGTATGGATAGAGGTAGTTGATTAAATTGTTTATTTATTACGTAGATTAGTGATATAGTTCACGAAGCACCTGATGTAAAAAAGACCATAAACATTATCGCAACATGAATGTTGCTACCCATCTTCAGACTTGGGACCAAAGTGTCAGTTGTGTCGTTCAAAGGTTATCCCACTTTGCCCAAACTGTTCCAAACCAGAACGCATGAATAGTGTGTGATATAAATAGACACAATGATGGTCCTCACGCCGGCTTATATAACACCCTACCACTTAGTAAAGGTTTCGATTTTTGCTTTAATAATAAACCAAGATATCAGTTCTTTAAATATCCTTACACTGTGTATGGCTTGAATCTTAGGTTTTTTAATTACGTAATCAAATGACTACACTAGATCATGTACTACACCTATAAACATCATCACCTGTTTATGCTGCAAATTAACTTAAAATTAATTTTAAATGTTTTCTTAAAAAAAAATATTAATTTAAGCACTAGTTTTCCTACAGAAATTTACTTTAAAACAACTTTGAAAATAGTGTCATAGCGTATAGCGTAATATGGCGTTATTATGAATAAGCGTAATAGGTCTCTCTCTTACCTATCAGATTTTTTAAAGTATTTTTATTCAATTTTGTATTCGATTTGTTTTCAGATATTTGAACATTATAAGTGCGATTTACAAATGGTCGACATTGATACCTTTATGTACAGTATTAGCGAGCATATGTATAATCATGCTTCAAATGACAGAGGTAGGTTGTGAAATTGAAGTTCCCGTGTATAGAGTGAAGACACACGGTATATTCGTCTCAAGTGATAAAAAATATGTTGGAGAGTGGCATGACACGGTTGGCTTTCCACTCGAACCTGCTCTATCTATGAAACAGTAAAACTTATTAAGTACTTTGCGTAATGACAGTCGTCGTTTTGTGAGCCTGAATGGAAGAATTTTTGGGTTCGGGTAACCCCTAGCACCTGGTGGATTCCGTCAATTCATTTGTGGCGTACAAAAATACAATACATTATTCTGACATATATTTTTCTAAATCAGCAAGTCTTTCAAATGACCCAAAGCCCTTTGTGATCTATCGTAAAATCCCTTTAGCGAAAACTATGATTGAGATTTTTTGTAAAATTATTTGATTGACCGAAACTACAAAAAAAAACATTTCACTGTGTTAATATTATGTATTTTTATTATTATTTTATTGGTTAGTTGGGAGGACGAGTCCACGGCCCATCTGGTGTTAATTGGTTACCGGAGCCCATAGACATCTTCAACGTAAATGCCGCCACACACCTTGAGATATGAGTTCTAAGGTCTCAGTATAGTTACAACGGCTGCCCCACTCTTCAAACCAACACGTATTACTGCTTCACGGCAGAAATAGGCAGGGCGGTGGTAACCATCCGTGCGGACTCACAAAATGTCCCTACCACCAGTATATTTGCGATGTTTGAATCATTTACCATTACCGCGGTGACGCATGAATTTACGTATGAAATTTAAATTGTAAATGATTATAGCTGAACTTTAACAATTTACTTTTTTTCCCAACCTATTCTAGCAGCTCGAGGGGCTATTCTAGATTCACCGAACTAGTAGGTGAGCTCACGGGGCTCAAACCTGACGTTGTTGCTAACACGAACCTTAGCTAGAGCCGGGCTCCGCAGAATCTACCACCGGATCTAAAACGCGACCCACTGAGAAAATCCGACGAGAAACTTAGTGGGCTTCACAATTTAAAATGCAGTTAGCGTTGTTTCAGAAAACATGTAAATTTCAAATAATCTAATTCGTGAATTGTTTCAGAAAATCAACTGGATCTTCGCTACTAACACGGTACCGACTCTAGCCGAGATCTTCGCCTACAATTGGTTTGGGGAAATGGTCAAGACAAAGGTATATTTATTAGGTCATTTTATCAATCTTTGGCGCACAATCCTTTGTGCAAAACGGATGGGCCACTCAACTTCAGGCCCAATGACTAACTATAATAAGATCATAAATAAGGCGAGGATTTCAAACAGGGCCTACCTACTAAAACCCGTGTACTATATTATGTGAATGTCTAACGTCGCAGATCTGTTTTTTATTGTTCAGATGAGTGGACGAGCTCACAGCCCACCTGGTGTTAAAATGGTTACTGGAGCCCATAGACATCTACAATGTAAATGTGCCACCCACGTTAAGATATAAGTTCTAAGGTCTCAGTATAGTTACGACGGCTGCCTTACCCTTCAAACCGCAACGCATTACTGCTTCACGTTAGAAATAGGCAGGATGGTGGTACCTACCTGCGCGGACTCACAAGAGGTCCTACCACCAGTAATTACGCAAATTATAATTTTGCGGGTTTGATTTTTACTACACGATGTTATTCCTTCACCGTGGAATTCAGTTGTGAACATTTGTTGAGTATGTGTTTCATTAGAAAAATTGTTAGCCGCCTGGGATTCGAACACCGGTGCATCGTTCAATACGAATGCACCGGATATCTTATCCTTTAGGCCACGACGACTTCGAAAGTATTACTGGTATTTGTAAGAAGTCAATGAAAAGGGGTAGACGAAGTTAATGCGTACCGGTTTTCGTATATACACCTAGTATTTTAAGATTATACCTAACAAACAGAAAAAAACATTGGTTGTCTGAAAAGTCGGTTTACGTGATAACGTCCGTAGCAGAACTATTCGAACTGCTAGCTCTGACGTCACGCGTGAAGAGAGATAAATGTGTCACAAGCCAACGCCTAGGCCGATCGTGGCTATCTGTCGCTTGTTCCGCGTTCTCCCTTGCATTTTCGGGCTCAGGCGGAACGTGACATGATTTATAAGACGTTATCACGTCAAAAACTGTTAAACAATGCTGTTTCTCTTAATGTAGGTAGTGAAAAATGACCCCAAACAAAGCAAAAACATTTACAGTATCTGATCATAAATATTGCACATCGATCGACCTTTAGAAAGAGACAATCGGCTAAATTTGGCTTCGTATAGCGTTGTCTTTGTCACACACCGCCTATATTATGACGTTTATCAGGCGCTGCTCAAATGTAGTAGTGGTCCTAGACACCGGACCAGTGTTTCGTGCGACAGAGATAACGCTATATTATTATGAAGCCGAAATTAGCCTGACTCTTTTCAAAGGTGAAATATATTATATCATCATGCTGTGCACCATTGTTTTGATGAAAGATCCGCTTACTTCTCAGGCTGAGAACGTCACATTAGCATTATTGGAATTCCACTGGACCGGTTTGCGTTATAAAGACAAGAAGAACTACCAAATTATAATATGCTACACCAACAAGGCTTTTGGAATTAGGACCGCATTCGGAAACGATCTGTCTATGTCTACTATGAGCGCTGTAAGTTTTTTTACAACTTTTTTTTTTTTTTTTTTATTTCTTAGATGGGTGGACGAGCTCACAGCCCACCTGGTGTTAAGTGGTTACTGGAGCCCATAGACATCTACAACGTAAATGCGCCACCCACCTTGAGATATAAGTTGTAAGGTCTCAGTATAGTTACAACGGCTGCCCCATCCTTCAAACCGAAACGCATTACTGCTTCACGCCAGAAATAGGCAGGGCGGTGGTACCTACCCGTGCGGACTCACAAGAGGTCCTACCACCAGTAATTACGCAAATTATAATTTTGCGGGCTTCAATTTTATTACACGATGTTATTCCTTCACCGTGGAAGTCAATCGTGAACATTTGTTGAGTACATATTTCATTAGAAAAATTGGTACCCGCCTGAGATTCGAACACCGGCGCATCGCTCAACACGAATGCACCGGACGTCTTATCCCTTAGACCACGACGACTTCACTAACTCTTAGGTTTGCTTGAGCTGAATTCTGTTACTACCGGTTAAAACTGGACCGTCCAATAATACAACTTATCCATACTCTATCTAGTACTAAAGGCCTCCGTCAATAGCTTTTTTAATACGTAAGTGAAGTTAGGTAACATCTAACTCTAGACTGAACTACTCGAATATGTTATTTTTTTGTAGCCTTCGTAGGCAGACGAGTATACGGTCCACCGGATGGTTAGTGGTTACCATCGCTCATGGACGTCAGCAATGCCAGAGACAGAGCCAAGCTGCTGCTTACCACTAAGTACTCTCCGCAAGCCTCGTAGTCCTGTAGTCTTCACAGTACTTTCAAACGCAGTCCAGTAGTAAGCGGCGACTTGGCTATACCATTGGCTTTACTAATATCCACGGTTGCAATTCGCCACCAAACTTCACCACAGTCGTAAGTTCGCTTGTTATTGACAGCAAAAAAAAAAGTAGAGAAATATTATTCACGTCTGGTCTTGCGATGCATGTTCATTAGGCTATAGTGACATTTAAGTATTTTAAGATGTAAACAATTACTATTTCCTAAACTTTTTTCAGGTATTCAAAGCCAGCTATCAAGCGTTCGCGGTCATGAAATCGATGCAAAATTAATCTGAACGCAAAAGCCGGTCGCGCCCTGTATAATTGAATTAGTTTTTTTTTTTGTGCATATATTGGTTAACCGAAATATTCGAGGGAATATTCGCGCGTGTTTTATGTACTTTTAGAACTACAGATGCAGTTAAACACGATAGTGAAATAGGAAATCGTTTATATGCACGCTGGTACAATTTAATATACAGTATACTGTCACCTCACGGAGACATGGTACATGAATAGCCGCGATATCCAAAAGATCGATGCCTTTGAAGCGTGGGTGTGGCGGAGGATGCTACGAATACCGTGGACTGCTATGAGAACTAACGAGTCCATTCTAAGGGAGCTACACATCCGAAAAAGGCTCTCTTCCATCCGCCGGGAACGTGCTATGAGCTTCTTCGGACACCTCATGCGGTCTCCCAGATGTGAATTAGAGAAGCTCATAATTGCGGATCGCATGGAGGGCAAGCGCGCCGTGGGCAGAACACCAGCCAGATAGTCAAATCTAGTCAGAGAAGCACTTGGTGGTAGTCTGTACCATGTGGTCCATGCCACCCATAATCGAACATAGTAGAAAAACGTCACATATAGTCGCAATCCTCAATAGTGAGGAAACAATATAGAAATTACTGTCACCAAAAATAACACCAAAATAATTCGAAATGTCGGATTAAAAAAAACAGCACACGTTCAAACGGATTTTTTTATTTACGTCATAACCTTAATCTTCTAAACAATGCTAAAGTTCTACAACTCTTGAACCTAGAGCTATCACTTTATACATGCTATTACTACGAATCTACTTTAAAATATCTTTTGTGTATGAATTATGCTTTACATTGAAGTATTTTGTTTATTAGTATTCAACTACGGTGTAGAATTATGATACGCTGAACACAGAGATAGCGCGTTTTTGAGCACGACTATTGATTTAGCGAGAATATTACGTTAAGGCATACATGAAAATGCCCTTGATATTGTCAAACGCCAGCCGCATTATCCAAGGTATTAAAACAAACAAACACTGAACTCTACACGCGATACGGATGCATAAGCAACATTTTATTTCTAAACCACTAACCCGTAATGCCCCTCTTTTCGATACAAGAGAAAAATAAATATAAAAATGGTAAAAAAAAAGAATATATTATATTGTACATTTTCATTTCCCCGAGCGCTTTCAGCGGCCATCAGATAGCGTTTGCACAGTCCGATTGAAAAGAAAGAGAAGTTTATTACTCAAAACGGACATTGTGATACGGAAATAGTGATGTGAAGTTGTTTTTTTTTATCGATTCATTTTTATAATTTATTTTAACGCGGCCTATTCTCAATCTTTGGACATGTACTTATCGGTAATTGAACACACGCATATACGTTTTAAAAGCTTTCTAGTTTTATCTCGAGACAACTGGTGACAGAGCCTATTATTAGAAGCAGTAATGCGTTTCGGTTCGAAGGGTGGGGTAGCCGTTGTAACTATACTTAGACCTTAGAACTTATATCTCGAGGTGGGTGGCGCATTTACGTTGTAGATGTCTATGGGCTCCAGTAACCACTTAACACCAGGTGGGCTGTGAGCTCGTCCATCCATCTAAGCAATAGAAAAAAACAAAAAGAGCCAGGTGAGGTAGATAAAGCCACTACGGTCAATGAAATCTTTGGCTAAAGATACATTTACCATCAATGGCAGTTTTGCTACTATTGTGGGATATCCAGCTGGAATAGAACCAATCTGTCGGATCGGATAGCGTTATGCCGCAAATTGTCAGTCTTTAATAACAATATAATATGCGGCGTGTTGAACTGCACGTCGCATGGCCTGTATTTCTCCCAGATCTGAATAACCAATTGAGGTCCCCTTCAAGCGTGGGAATTAACCGTTATTAACTGTCAACGAAATTATATTGCATCTAGTATGCTTAATCAGATCAGATTGTTTTTATTAAAAAAAAAACATAAACTTATATTCAACATAATAATGTTAAGCTTATATTCATAATAATAAATTGAAAAATCCGAAAACAAATCTTTTATTTTACAAGTTTCAGTGGCCTTTATCTTTTACTATTAGTGATGAGCTGGCGAGCCTACAGTCTACCTCCAGTAAACATGATACCAGGGTCCAAGCAACTTAGAAACGTGCGATATAAACTACACTAGTATTGCAACAGGACTGTAATCTGAGCTAATAATAATATTATAATTTCACAAAAAAAAAAAACATCGACAATTCCATTCGCAATCCCTATTCCATTGTTATACGTCAATAGTCATAGTCGAGAATCTAAATTCTATTTTTATCGACCAACCAATAAATCGTAAATGGTCCCCGTCACTATTGGACATTGAAATAGGTAAAGATACATCTTCCTGGTACAAAGTGAACAAATTCGAACGAATTATGTCAGGTTTTTTTCTCGGAAAGATTTTCAGATAGTGTCGCGGGACGTCGAACGGGCCGCACTCTGATATGTAAATACTTTTATTTTTGGGTAGCGTTTTGCGAAGTTATCATTGTGGGATCTGTTAGTATTCGAGGTATCAATTTTAGGGTGTTTGAAATGTTTTTTTTTTAATTTGTTTTGGCTGCTATCGGTCTGTTGTGTTTTTAATAATGCATATTATAAGTAGTATATATTAAGTAAATATTGTAATAAGGGGCAATGTAAGCTTTGTTAGCGTTGATATTTTAATTTTTAGGTCCAACGAATGGATTTGGTGAATGCTCGAGTCGCGATTACAAATAACGGTTTGATATCACAAAACTGTTAGGATATCAATAAGGTACGCTTTAGGCTTACAACTTTTATGATGATTTTTATCATGGCTAGGTACTTAAAAAAAAAGATACAAATCACGCTCTCGTTCTAGTGAAGGCGAAACAGCAGGCCACAGTAATCTGCCAAACATAAAACAAAAAATTCTCTCTAGCTATTCGCTGGAAGCCTAAAGGACTATTATTCCAGCTACATCCGGACGAGTAGGTGAGGTCACGGACTTAACCCAAAAATTACTATCATCGGATTGGAGTTCCACTGAGAAGATCCAGCAAGAAAGTCTGAGGGCGAAAACGAAAACGTAACGCTCTTGACCTAAACGATATTAGTCTGATTCTAATTCAAGAGGTGGCATTTTCGACATTACAATATGTTACAAATCTACCCGAGAGACATAAGACTACCGTATATAATGATATGGTTATAACTAATATCCGTCTATAATTAGAATTTGCTAAATTTACTTTTAATGTATCACATTTCCTATTTCTGATAGGAAGTAATTATGCTTGGATAGTCGTGATTCTATTGAAATTTAGCCTCAACTCTATACATAAAATATCTTAACGTAGACGGTCGCATTCTTGATGTCTATAATGATTGCTCTTCTTCTTCTTCTTTTTCTCCGCCCTATCTCACTAGGTGGGGTGGGCACAGCGAATTTTTCTATTCCATTCTTCTCTATCAGCCGTCATCTCAACACTCAGTCTTTTTTCTCTCATAACGTCATTCAAACACTCCATCAATGTCTTCTTTGATCATTGATTTGGTCGACCTCTTCCCCCTTTACCTTGCCCTTTTTTTTTTTTTGGTTTTTTTCCGGCCGGGAGCCGAACCTCCTACGAGTTCCCCGCGCCTAAAGGGCGCGCAGGGTATGTGGGACTCAACGATCTGCAAGGTGTTGGAAGCAGACCGCGGGCCCAAGGAATTTTAGGGCCCACCTACTAAACGACTCCTCTGGACTTTTACATCCGACGTCCGATCCCCTTCGAGACCAGAATCCGGATGAGGTAAGAGGGTTACCGTGGTCAACACTACAAGCAGACAACGCGGCTCACCCCAACGACGCCCAGCCGACGGAGCCTTCGAGGCCAATCGAAGGCTCTGAAATTTCGGCCGTCTCGGTACGGTAGCCCGTCAGTCCGCCCAGATGGTGCCGCTGGTGTCCCGGAATACCCCGCTGGACCAGAACCAGCCTGCCGGTTCGTATCTCCTTGGCAGCGCGCTAGAGTGCTGGTAGCGCGCCGCGCGGCCTCTACCCCCTCAGGTTGCCCCTTGACCTTCACCGGGGGGAAGCCGCCATCCCTTTACCTTGCCCTACCATTTCCATACATCTCCTAGTTACATGCATCTCCTCTTTACGCATCATATGTCTATACCACCTTAACCGTCTGCTCGTTAGTTGATCAATCACTACTACTACTTTCACACTTCCTCTGATATACTAATTCCTTGTATTACGCATTCTTAATGCATGCTATGCATACAAAACAGATCTTCTCACAACGAACAGAAAATATCATTTCGCAGAGTTTTGTTGTTTTTCGTGTTTATTGAGCAACTTTAATTACAAAACATCAAAAAAATCTTCCGCGAACAAAAAAATCCACGTAAATCCCCGCTCATCTTAGCCGGTGATTCCGGAATCGTGACTTAACCGATAATAAGTGATCCAGCAGTGAAATTCGGTTCCTAACTCGCTCAAAACTCGATTACCCGACGCAATGAAAACTCAATCGTATAAAAACATTTTCGTTTGATTTGAATGATGCCGTTAGTTGAATTGGTTCCACTGAATATGACTCTAACCGGTTCAGTGCGGTTCGTTCCGGATCAATGCGGAATGCATTCTAGGCTTTACATTAATGAAATTTGATTCTGTATGTGTCTATTCTTTGAGATTTGCTTATATCGCTAAGTGGGCGGACGAGCTCTCGGCCCATCTGTTGTTAAGTGGTTACCGGAGCCCATAGACATCTACAATGTAATGCCGCCTCCTACCTAGAGATATGAATTCTAAGATCACAGTTTTAACAATACGGCTGCCCTGCCCTTCAAACCGAAAACCCATTACTGCTTTACGGCAGAAATAAACAAACCTTGATACGCGTGCGGACTCACAAAAGACGTCCTACCACCAGTAATTACGAAAATTATAATTTTGCGGGTTTAATTTTTACTAACATACCAACGTAATCTGAGCTTGAAATATTTGTTCCAAGTAGGGTATTTGGTAGTGGGGAATAGCAGCACTATTTCTGTAGCGTCGTAGATGAAGAGTAGTGAGAGATTCATCGGAGAATGGATAGAAACATTTTGTTTAAATATTGTCTTTGTAAGGTAGTGTACGGCGCACCAGTGTGCTTAGTGCGAGTTTTTTAACGTCCTCGATAGCGTAAAAGTTAACTCATGTTTGTATGGAATGGGACTTCTTACGTACTGTTATGGGAATTCTCTCTGAGGTCGTTTTAAAAAAGGAAAACTCTCAGGATACAACTATTTATTGGATTTTGAACAATATGGATAATGATTCTCAGAGTAATCCCGGCAGCCGCAC